AGCAACAAGGCAGTATCTGGGACTGGGAGATGGGTCAGCAGTTAAGAACACTGGCTGGTCTCACAGAGGACCAGAGGACCTGGGTTCGGTTCCCAGCACCAACATAACTGCTCAGAGTCATCAAAACTCCATGACGGCTGCTGTATATACTGCATGCAGACTTAAATGCAGGCAAAACAAGACACTTATACACATAAAAATTAATTAATTAAGATACAGCTCCCACCAAAGCACCGCGACTCACTTGCGGGTCCTGTCTGGACAAATGTGGCACATTTGTTGGCAATGTACACTATTGAAGTCTATTGAAGTCTATGAAGACTATTGAAGTCGCTCTTACACGTTAGTTATCATTGTATCAGTTTTCTCTTGAAGTAGGCAATGACTTTCAGGTTACTGACGCGGGTGGAGATGAGCTGTAACTTCTGTCATAATTTAGAAAAAAAACGGCACTCGAGAGAAAGACACCATGAAGACAGAGTTCATGTAGGTTTTTTTTTTTTTTTATTAAGGGAAAGGGAATGTAAAAGGCGGGAAGGGGAGGAGACTGGCCTCTGGGGGGCAGGTAGAGACAGACAGACAGACAAAGAATTAGATGGGTGGTGGGCAGGGCCCTTTTAAAGGGGACGTAAAGAATGTGCACAGCAGGTGCTCTTAGTGGCTACAGCTGAGGCCGTGTATGCCAAGGTCAGGCCAGTGCAAGCGCCTGAATACTAACAACTTCTGCTCAGTGTGGTAGTCATCTGGAGAGTCCACTTGACTGACGATATACTTAAGGTATTTTTTTTCAACATTGTTATAGATTTAAATTGCCAGTTCAGGATTCCCCCGTTATTTGTTCAGATTATCCAAATACCTGAATGGTTATAGGATCACATAGACTGGCAATGGGGCCGGGCATGGTGGCACATATCTTTAATCTTTAAACTCAGGTAGATTCCTGAGTTTGAGGCCAGTCTGGTCTATTGAGCAAGTTCCACAATAACCAGGGTTACCCAAAGAAACCCTGTCTTGAAAAGACAACAACAAAAGATTGGAGGTGGGGAGGGAAGCTGAACATTAGCCCAGCCGAGAGGTGCAAAGGCCTTCGCAATGCAATGGCTGAAGGATCTTCATTCTTTGTCTTTCGTTTAGGGACCATGGTTTTACTACATAGCTTAGGCTAGCCCGGCACATGAGTTAGTCCTCTTGCCTCAGCCTTCCGAGCGTTAGGATCCCAGATATGGGCTACTGGTTAGTTTTTAATATTTAAGCACAGAGAAGTCAATAGAGGAAATCCAATCACTCAGATGCCCCTCAGTGCACATCACAAAATAAAACACTAGCTAGAAAACATTTACACTAGTTTTTATGTTTTCTCATTGGCTTTCTGATTTACTTTTTTTTTGTTTTTTGGGTTTTTGTTGTTGTTGTTGTTGTTTTTCTACACAGGGTTTCTCTGTGTAACAGCCCTGACTGTCTTGGAACTCGCTTTGTAGACCAAGCTGGCCTGAACTTACTGAGTTCCACCTGCCTCTGCCTCCAGAGTGCTGGGATTAAAGGCGTGCGCCGCCACCACCCAGTCTGATTTACTTTTTACTAATAAATCTCATTCACAGTCAGGTGTGGCAGCACACACTTTTAATCCTAGGACACAGGCAGCAGAGGCAAAAAGGCCAGCCTGTTTCTAAATAAACGAGCAAATTGGTTTTTTTTGAGACAGGGTTTCTTTATCCTGGAACTCTCTCTACACGGACCAGGAGGGCCTCAAACTCGGAGATCAATCTGCCTCTGCCTCTGGATTAAAGGCATGCATCACTACTGCTAGGCTTAATAAACAATTTTTTATTGATATTTATTGAGCTCTAAATTTTTCTCTGCTCCCCTCCCTGCCTCTTCCCTCCCCCCTTCAACCCTCCCCCAAGATCCCCATGCTCCCAATTTACTCAGGAGATTTTTGTCTTTTTCTACTTTCTACTTCTCTTGCAGATTAGATCTATGTAAGTCTCTCTTAGTGTCCTCATTGTTGTCTAAGTTCTCTGGGACTGTGGTTTGTAGGCTGGTTTTCTTTGCTTTATGTTTAAAAAACACCTATGAGTGAGTACATGTGATTACTGTCTTTCTGTGTCTGGGTTACCTCACTCAAAATAATGTTTTCTAGCTCCATCCATTTTCCTGCAAAGTTCAAGCTGTCATTATATTTTTCTGCTGTGTAGTACTCCATTGTGTAAATGGACCACATTTTCCTTATACATTCTTCAGACCAAGGGCATTTAGGTTGTTTCCAGGTTCTGGCTATGACAAACAAAGCTGCTATGAACATAGTTGAGCACATGTCCTTGTGGTATGATTGAGCATCCTTTGGATATATACCCCAAAGTGGTATTACTGGGTCTTCAGGAAGGTTGTTTCCTAATTTTCTGAGAAATCGCCACACTGACATCCAGAGGGGTTGTACCAGGTTGCATTCCCACCAGCAATGCAGAAGTGTTCTCTTTTCCCCACAACCTCTCCAGCATAAGTTGTCATCAGTGTTTTTGATCTTAGCCATTCTTACAGGTGTAAGATGGAATTTCAGAGTTGTTTTGATTTGCATTTCTCTGATGACTAAGAATGTTGAACATTTCCTTCAGTGCCATTTTATATTCCTCTGTTGAGAGTTCTCTGTTTAGGTCTGTACTCCATTTTTTAAATTGGATTATGTGATCTTTTGGTGTCCAATTTCTTGCGTTCTTTGTATATTTTGGAGTTCAGACCTCTGTCTGATGTGGGGTTAGTGAAGATCTTTTCCTATTTTGTAGGCTGTCGTTGTGTCTTGTTGACTGTGTCCTTTGCTTTACAGAAGCTTTTCGGCTTCAGGAGGTCCCATTTATTAATTGTTTCTCTCAGTGCCTGTACTGTTGGAGTTATATTTAGGAAGTGGTTCCCTATGCCAATGCGTTCAAGTGTACTTCCCACTTTCTCTTCTTAAGGTTCAGTGTGGCTGGCTTTATGTTTGAGGCCTTTGATCCATTTGAATTTGAGTTTTGTGCATGGTGATAGATATGGGTCTATTTTCATTCTTCTACATGTTGATATCCATTATACCAGCACCACTTGTTAAATATGCTTTCTTTTTTCTTTTGATATTTTTTGCTTCTTTATCAAAGATCAGGTGTTCGAAGATGTGTGGATTGATACCCGGGTCTTCTATTCGGTTCCATTGGTCCTCCTGTCTGTTCTTATGCCACTTTGATATATTTTCTAGAGGTTTCTTATATATTAAAGTAGGTGGATTAACCTACTTGGTCACAGATTTTCTGCCAAAACTGGAACTTTCTGCAGTGGCTCCCACCAAGAATCTGGAGCTAGATCATTGAGGGAGCTGTGTGAAGTTTCTGGAACCTCTTGTTCCTCACAGAGACAGATTAAACTTGAACCAAAGCTTGATTTGAGCTGCTTGACTCTGGGTCTTGTTCAACTACCCAGTGTTTGACAGAAAGCTTGGTAGAGTTTACTAAATAGAGGAACAAAAATAATTTCATAAAATTAAAGTCAGATGGGATATATGTGTTCATGTTCTTTGCAGTATTTGTGAAAATTATATTTGCTCTTCTAAATAGGAGCTCTCTCTCTCTCTCTCTCTCTCTCTCTCTCTCTCTCTCTCTCTCTCTCTCTCGGTTTTTCGAGATGGGGTTTCTCTGTAGCTTTGTAGCCTGTCCTGGACTAGCTCTTGTAGACTAGGCTGGCCTCGAACTCACAGAGATCCACCACCTGCCTCTGCCTCCCAAGTGCTGGGATTAAAGGTGTACGCCACCACCGCCCGGCTCATGTTGAATTTTTTTTTTTCCCGAGACAGGGTTTCTCAGTATCTTGGAAGCCTGTCCTGGAACTAGCTCTTGTAGAGCAGGTTGGCCTCGAACTTACGTCTCTGATCTCTATCTGCCTGCCTCTGCCTCCCGAGTGCGGGATTAAAGGCGTGCACCACCACCACCCGCCTGGCTTCGTGCTGAAATTGTAACTGCAGGCCACCACGCCTGGTTTATTTGGAGCGGGGGACTGTATCCAGGGTGTCACGTGGCTAAACAACTCTACCAACTGAGCTACAGCCCCAGGCAAGAAGAGAACTTTTAAATTAGCTATCATTATATTTGAGGGAAGGGATGAGAACATGATGTCACCTAAATTTAAGTTCTACTTCGTTGCACTGGCCTTATGCAAGCGGAGAGCAGCTGTCAACCACGAATAGCGATGATTTGAACGTGCTTCTCAACGTTTCAACTTTTTCCCAGGCTGGAGGGCCCCTCACAGGGCTAGAACTGGGCCGTTTCTCTTACTTGGCTAATCCTGAAAACGCTGTGGTAAAAAGCAACAGGCAGTCCTTAACAGAAACAATCAGAACTAGTTCTGCTAATTTGTTTCCTTCAGCAGAAAACCGCCAACTGGACTATTCCGAAAAACACGGACACCACAAATCCTCACACAGAAACACATTAGCGCCTGGCGGACTTCCGAGAAATCAGAGTCCTAATACAAGAAACCCACCAAGATGCGTGAGAGAAAATGATTTTATGATTTTCACTTCCCATTGGCTGAACTCTCTGGAGTTTAACCCTCTAACACATTTTCATTGGTTGTTTTTGCTGTCACGTCTGTCCACTTCCTGGTCCGCTTCCAGCAACTGCAGGACTAAAGGGCTGTACTGAGTCTGGGGGTCTCCCAAATCCCCAGTAACGTAGGCGGAGGCTCTCGCCACGCCCCCAATCCAGACCCCCGCCCCCGTGTGCTCGAGGGCCCGCCCCCAGACCGTCAGTTCCCGCCCCTTATGGTTGGGGCCCCGCCCTCAGCCCAAGACACCGCCTCTGGAAATTAGATCCCCGCCCCGAGCCCGTGATCACACCCCTTACCTGCGTTCCTGCCCTGACTTGTAGCCCCGCCCTCATCTTCAAGCCCCGCCCCCAGACAGTACAGGTCCACGCCCCCTGCCCGCGGTCCCGCCCTTCCCTCCCCAGAGGGCGGCGACCAGGCGGCGGCCGCAGCCGCAAGAAGATGCTGGAAGCGGACGGGCGCGCACCGCGGAGGTGCTGAAGGGATAGTTCCCGCGGCAGAACTTGCCCCTGAGCGCGTGAAGCACCAAGCGATGGAGACTATCTGGATCTACCAGTTCCGCCTCATCGTGATCGGGGACTCTACGGTGGGCAAGTCGTGCCTCCTGCACCGCTTCACCCAGGGCCGCTTCCCAGGGCTGCGCTCCCCCGCCTGCGACCCTACGGTTGGCGTCGACTTCTTCTCGCGCCTACTGGAAATTGAGCCCGGCAAGAGGATCAAGCTGCAGCTCTGGGACACGGCGGGGCAGGAGCGCTTCAGGTAGGGAGTCACCCGCTACCAGCTCTCGAAAGTGCTTGCGCTCGCTGCTCGCTTCCCCTTCGCCCCTCCCCTTCCAAGGGCTACTTCCTCCTCCGCAGTTTCTTCTTTCTTTAGCACGGATTCCTGCGCCCCCTTTCTGTCTCCTTTCCTGTCCTAACCTGGATCGCCTGGTCTCCCCCAGCTCTGTCTGCTCCTCTAGGCATTTGGGTCCCTTTGGCTCCACCGCTGGCTTCTCCCCAAACTCAACTTCGCATGTACGCCCTGACTCAACAACCTTCCTCCTAGCGTCCCCTTTTCAGCTTAGACCAAGCCTCTTAAGGGGCGGTAGAAATGCCTAGTGGGGTGTGTGTGAAAAATCTTTAGTTCTCAGCAAGCAGAACTCCAGCCGGGGTTATGGCCTGGGCTCCATTGGAACGGTTCACAGCGAGATGCATGCGGTTAATTGATTTGAAAAGCACCAAATGTGGTCATCAGAAAATACTGGGCCATGACCCTAGGTATTAGGTCCTGGAAAACAACTAAATGTAACATCGGAGTCACCAACCCAACTGAGGGTGTGTGTGTTTGTGTTTAAAGGGTGGAGTTGCCTTTGAAAGTTTGTCCTCTTTGGTGAAAAACGTAATATTGAGGTTTATCTGCAACTTTCGCTTTATTTCATTGATTCGTACTTAACGTTCCAGAGTGATAACAAGAGAAAATACTTTTCTAAATGGAGAAAAAGGCTCTCAAGTAAATAGTCTCATTCTAAATGTTCACTGGGGAACCTGAGAGATTGTACAAAGACGACTGACGTTACAGAAATAAGAGGAACCAAAACTGAATTCCTTGGATATTTGAGATAAAATCATATCTAAAGGCCTATTTCCAGTTATTTTGGATCGAACAGTACTTTGGTAAAGAAGCTGGTAATGTACTGTTTTGTTCCTTTAAAATCACATGATCAGACGGAACTCTCCTAGGCAAACATTGTCACACCTCTCAGCAAGTGCTCTGCTTGTGAACTAAGGAACTCCTTTTAGGAACTTCCAAACATGGCTCCCCCTCACTCCTAAGCTGCATCCATGCCGAATGAGTGCAGCCTACATTTGAAGAATGTCCAACACTAAAATCTTGGCTTTCATTTCTGGGTCTGACACTAATTCATGGAGATAATAAGGGAACTGCCTTGCTTGCCTGTACATTAGTTTCTTTGTGTGTGAAGTAGAGTAACGGTGTTAAAGGGCATCAGCTTTGTTTAGAATTCCATGAAGACATTTTTGTTCCCTTTTCAATCAGCCTCCTTTGATTGAAACAGTTTTTAAACCTTGTGCCTCATCTGTAAAATGAAGATATCGTCATGATTTCTAAGATTCCTTCCGGTTCAACCACTCTTGAGATCAGTTACCGATTCTTCCATTTATGGTCTTAGGTTGAACTCTGAGTTATTTCGGGGTCAGAAAAAAAAAAAGCATTTACTTAGTGCTTTCTCTGCCCTTTAAAGGTAGTAAAATCTTCCTGTGTCTATTTACTTAAAAGTAATTCCTCAACCTATTGACAGGAAAATAAAGGATAATTAATCTGTTAGAATGTAAAGACCTTTGCTAGTTGCCGGTTTTTCAATGCCTTTGAGAAGAATGTAAATAGCAATTCATTTTATATATACATTATTTAAACAACCCAGTAACTGCCCTGTAATAATGCAAGGACAGTTAGAGAATGTTTACAATGAGTCATACTTTTCTGTTTTGCTTGGCCCTTTACCAATGATATATTCATAAATACATACATATTTCAGTAGCTACCTACAATGCTTGCCTTTCTAGCATATAGCAAAATGCTTCACCATACAACTGCATTCAAAATAATTGCTGTTAAATCATCCTGCATGTTCTAGAAAATAGAGATATTTGTTTTGAATCATGGGTCTCCTGGCACATTTTATTACATTCAAGAGTGCTTGGAGATATACGTCTGTCATTACAATCATGCCCTGAGGATTTGTGGGAAATATCGTGTTAGGAGGTTTATTGGTGATTAGACATAAAGCAAAAAAGGAACTTAACTTAGAGAGCTCATGATGTAGTTTGAAAGCATAAACAAACATATTGCAGAACAATGAAATGACCAGTCGGGAATTATCATAACTAGTTCTCCTTTCAGTATTTAAGTTAACATTCTAGTGGATTTTAACTACTTGCATAACAAAAAGGGACAAGATGTGCTGGGCCTGGTGACACTTGCCTGTCATTCAAAGACTGAACCAGGAGGATCTTGTGTAGTCATACCAGGCTCCACAGCCAGACATGTCTTAAAGGGAACAGCACAGGGCATGGTGGTACAAGCCTTTAATGCCAGCATTTGGGAAGTAGAGGTAAACTAGTTTCTGTGTTCTAGGCCAGTCTCATCTACATAGAGAGTTGTGGGCCAACCAAGTGCTACATAGTGAGACATTGTCAAAAACAATAATAAAAGAACTGAAATCAGGGAATATTGATTTGGTTTATATAATGCTTGGGATTCCATGAAGAACCTTAGTTCAATAAGAAAGGCCCACTATGTGTCTAGGAAGTGGGGAAGGGGAGTCTAGTATTGTGAATGGTTAGAGAAGAACTAGAAATCACCACTTTCCTAGATCAGTAAAAACAATAAAAAAAAAGAAAAATGTCACTTTTTTTAACTTTTAATTATAGTGGGGAAGTTTAGCAGTAAAAGAAATAAAAAGAATGCTTAGTGAAGTGTCTAAGATAATCTCTCTCTCTCTCTCTCTCTCTCTCTCTCTCTCTCTCTCTCTCCTCTCTATCTATCTCACTATCTCTATCTCTCTCTTTATCTCTCTGGGAACCCACTCCATAGACCAGACTGGCCTTGAACTCAGAGGGCCAGTTGCCTCTGTTTCCCAAGGGCTGGGACTGAAGGCGTGCACCACCAACCACAGGACGACTGTATAGTGTTAGTAAGTTTATAGGAAAGAGTTAAAAATATGAAAGGTGTTAAGTTTAAAGAACCAGTTTCATCCAGCTCCACCCGTGTATTGGTAAGAGGTGTTGGGATTTCTAAAAGCGTAAAGTTATTGGGTCATTGGATACATCCTCCTTGGGAGGGATACACGTAATTTCTCATGGAGGGTCTGCAAGATGGCTCTGTGGGTAAAGAGGAATGTGTTGCCAAACCTGGTAAACTGAGTTTGATTCCTGGGGTCCACAATGGCTCTGACCTCTATGTGTGTACTGTTGGTGTGCCCCCACCCATAAGTAAATTCACAAAATAAAATTTTAAAGAAAATTTTAACATAGAGAATTTTAAAAAGTAATTTCTTATGAAAGTAAGTTCTTACAAAAGAATGAGCCCGACCCCTCCCACCTTCTGGGACCTTGTCTGGCCGTCGATGTCTTCCTCTCAAGCATGCTGCCATGAGGAGGTCACCTACCAGTTGAGGGGAGCCCACCAAACCTAGTGTCCTGCTGTGTGAACTGTCAGCTCCCAAAACTGAGCTGGATGAACTCTTTCCTTTATTCTGTATCCAGCCTCAGATATTTTGTTATAGTAGCAGAATGTGGTCTGGTGTAGACAGTGGGAAAGCATAGCAGCAATATTGAACACACACATACCATGAAAATTCCAGATTTCAAACCAAATTTGACCATTTTTTTTTATCATATTGTCTGACCTTTGGAGTACTACAATTATAGCCACTAATTTGTTTTGTTTTGTTTTTCGAGACAGGGTTTCTCTGTAGCTTTGGAGCCTGTCCTGGAACTAGCTCTTTTTTTTTTAATATTTATTTATTTATTATGTATACAGCATTCCTTCCGTGTGTGCCCACAAGCCAGAAGGGGGCGCCAGGTCTCATTATAGATGGCTGTGAGCCACCATGTGGTTGCTGGGAATTGAACTCAGGACCTCTGGAAGAGCAGTCAGTGCTCTTAGCCACTGAGCCATCTCTCCAGCCCCTTGGAACTAGCTCTTGTACACCAGGCTGTCCTCGAACTCACAGAGATCCGCCTGCCTCTGCCTCCCCAGTGCTGGGATTAAAGGTGTGCGCCACCACCGCCCGGCTATAGCCACTAATTATAATGCTGAGAGAACAGTGCCTTCTTCCCCCAGTGCTCTCAAGGTGAGCTCTGTAGAACATTCGTCCCTTATCCCTTATATTTTCAAAGAATACTTTGTATAGCCACATGTGTTTAGAAATCTCTATCCCTGTAACATCCCCCTAAAGCTCCTTATCAAAGCCTTTAAGAAGCCAGGCATGATGGTGTATATATGCCTATGATCTAAACACCTGGAAGCAGAGGCGAGATTGTAAATTTGAAGCCAGTGTAGGCTACATATGAAGACTTTGTCTCAAAATACCAAGGACTAAGGCTGTAGTTGAGTGGCAGAGTCCTTGTTTACTGTTCCCAAGGCAGTCCCAGCACTGGAGGAAGAAAGCTGCTAAGAAATAGTGCAGCAAAGAAATGTGTTTAACTTTGATTAAATTAACAGATTTACTTGGGCTATTTCCAAAATACCCAATTAGGTACAACTGATGTGCAAGGAGGACGCTTTGGGAAAGGCTCCTTTGATAAGTTGCTTTCATCTTTCTCAGATTTGAAGCAATAGCAGACCCATATAAATGAGTTAGCTGACTAATTAACTTTGCAGAAGGCTGTCAGCTGTAAGCGGTGGTTAGTTAACACCAGGGCTCCTGTATCTCTCAGTGCTGAGGTTACAGGTGCACATTGCCACATCTGACTTTTTTACGTGGGTGCTGGAGACCCAAATTCAGCTCCTCATTCTTGCAGAGCAAGCACTTTACCCACTGAGCAATTTCCCTACACTCTTTCTGATTCTTTAGCCCCTCTCAGTGCATCCCTTTCTATAGGATTTGGTGTGATATGGAGTCGTGTAGGTGCTTGCCTCAGTTACACGGAGTATAGTAAGAGACCCAAACTGAAACCAAGTGAGATCAAGAGAGAAGGCTGCAAAGGGGAGTTGGGTGGCTCCTAAGAACCTCCCTAGTTGTGAGAAAAAAAGGCATT